CTCTTTTATTTACTACAGATATCGTGGAATATTCTGACCATGAACAAAGTTTGTGTTTTCACTAAAAGAGAGTAAAGAGCTCTGAGCTTTGTCTTGTTGATCTTCAGAGACGAAGCAGCTTTGACCTCACGTCGCTGGTTTCTATTTAAATGTTCATGATTTGTTCCACTGGGACTTTTTGTGACTGCAGATGTAAAACATGATCTTCGCTCATTAACTTCACTCCAGAGAGAAGAAATACTTCTGAGCTAATTTTTCCAAAACTCCAGCTCACAGAGGAACCGTCGCTGTGGCGCCCTCTCTCCGGGCTCCCGCCTCTTTTCTTTCCACTTTGTCATTCGGCTCCTCGTTGTTATTTTTAGTTTTCCTGTCACAGTGAAATTGTTGTAACTGTCGTACTTTGACACGTTGAGTTGCGTGTGGTCCAGTCACATGTCCTTGTTCCCTCCTGCAGTCGGGACAACTCCCCCAGCCTGAAGGAGATCAGAAACGGTTGCCAGCAGCAGAATGACCGAAAGCCCCCGATGCCGCTCCGCCTGCTGCGCCCCGAACCCCCGACGCCTCCTCCGGCCACCATCCTCCCCCTCTCCGCCAACACTAGTCCTCCTCAGCCGCCTCTCCCGGCCCCCTCAAACCCCAACCCCTCCATCCCGATCACCTCCCCGACCCCCTCCCTGCCCCTCTCCCCTCCGCCCTCCGTCGTCAATTCTAGCGAGATCCTGGTGGAGCTGGAGCGGAACAACAACTCCACCAACGCCAGGCGGAAGGGAGGGCCATCAGGGGGCGACAGCGAGCCCAACCTCATCGACTGTCTGCTGGTCAGCCCGGCCGTCAACACGCTGTCCATCCAGCTGCCGGCGCAGGCCGACCGAGTGCTGGGCTGCTTCGCTCTCATCCTCAAGATGCTGTGAGTTTACAGCGTCGAAGCTTCACACACACATTTTTCTACAGATTGTCGTAAAAGGAAAAGTGAAACATTAGCCTGACGTTAAAGATGAAAGTCTTCAAAGTCGAATAGTAGATGAGGTGATTCACCCGACAAATTGCGTTAACTCAAGATTGTATTCTTTTTTCTGATGCAGCGCCTCAACTTTTTCTCATTGTTTCTTTCCTCCAGTGAATCATAGAAGTTTTTATTGTGAATGTAAAAGTTTCGCAAAGTTAAAAAGCGTGTGTGTGCGTGTGTGTGTGTGTGTCAGGACGGCCTAAAAAGCGATAGTGTCTGTGCTTTTGTAGCTCGTGTTACTCAACAGTAACGCGACGCCGCTGCAGCTCCCGTTAATGCGACGCTGCAGGTTTGCGTCATCTCGCTGATCATGTTGCAGCTTCTCTTCTTGTCTTTTTGTTGCACGGCCGCACGTATCCGCCCTCGTCTGTTCATCCTCACAAAGGCTCTTTCTCTCCCCGTGTGTCTGACAGGTCGGACTACGACGACTGGAGACCGGCTCTGGCGAGCCTGCTGCAGCCCATCCCCTTCCCTAAAGAGTGAGTGTTCACTCCTTCACACCTCAGTCACACTGCAGGACGAGTTATAGCAATGAATCCACTCTACTCATCAGGTTTTATATTGGTTTTCTTTAGGGTCCAATATGTTTGATATGCTTTGTTCGCATGGTGAATATATTTTAATTTGAAAACAAAAATATCCCAGGACTTCTAAATGTTGACTTTTGACCTTGTGTTAAATCTTCCTGAATAATAATGTTGAGGCCTCGTCGGTCTTTTAATGTTCCTGTTAAACCTGCGTTAGTTTCATGGAGGTGCACGGTGTCTGTGCACGGTGTCTGTGCACGCAGCAGCTTCAGTCCTTCTCCATCACAGGCAGTAGTTTTACAGTATTTCATCACCTTGCACCTTCGTGCCATCCGTCTCCCACTTTTCTCGTTTTCTTCTGTCTCTTCGCCGTCTCTGTGGATGAACATGTTTCTAACAGGGCCCTACTGGGGCCAGACAACTGACGTAGGAGAGGCACCTCGCCGCGGCTCCCGGGGATCGTGAGCTGCGGTGGCGGCGGCATTCCTGTCCCCAGACAGCTCGCTGTAATTGGCTGTAAGCAGCCCCGAGCCTTATTTGTGACTGGCTGGCCAATCAAGAGCTTCATTAGCTCTGACTGGTGCGCGGCTTGTTTTGACCGACTCCGGGACTCACCTGTTGCTCACCTGCGCCACTGTTGCCTGGTCAATGGCTTCGGGCGTCATTAGGAAAAGCAACAATAGTCCCCAGCAGCCTGAGGATGAAATGAGTCACATCACACATGCTCCGACGACTTCACGCACACACGCGCACAACTTCAACTCTTAAACTTAAACTCTTGAAAAGTGAACTGGAAAAGACGGACATGTTTTTTCTTAATGCATCTTAATGAACTAAACCAACTAATCCAACGCCTGAAGAGACAAATAAACATATTTTCAAATAT